CATTTTTCCCAAATAGAAGCTGTTGGTTTTTTTAAGCGTATTTTTCCATAAATATATATCCACTTTTAATCTTCTGTGAAAGTGTTTTATTTTATTTTGTTCATGTTGTTGCTTAATAATTAACCAGAGTTTGAGGGTTCTCTTTTATATGGTTCGTTTTTTTTTAGAAGGTATTCTTGGTGTCAGCTCGTCCCTTTTTGGTTTTGCTGCTCACCTATCTGTTGACTAGTTCACTTACGCAGCTCTCTCCCAGTTATTTGGTAAGACAGGTGGGACCTTCTCCTGGGTCCAGGAAACCAATGGTTCATCTTTGGAGAGTAGAAGACTTTATCCTTTGGACTCACCCACATGCCTGGGAAAGCTCTGTCTCTTCTTTGTGCTCTTGCTCAGGGACACACATTTGGCCTCCACTTGTTGGCAGAACGGAAATCAGAGAAAGCCAAGGAGCCGTTCTAGGGCCCCTCTGCCCACTGCATGTGCAGCAGCTCCTCTGGCAAAGCTCCCACCATTCACAGATGCTTCCTAACATCCATATGTGTTTTCCATTAATCCAGTCCAAACTGCTTCAGTCTTTCAAGAGATATTCAAAATGTTTGATGCACTGATGGCATTCTTTTATAATACTGCTTTAGATTTATTTGGAATAGGTTTTCTGTCATTCCTAAGATTTGGATCAAACAAAGAAGGTAGATGTGTGAGGTTAGTCTGCGATCTTACTGTTTCCATGTGGATGCTGATTCCGCTTCTAACCCTGATCTAGTTGTGCACATCCTTTCCCCATCCCTGCCCCGACACCCTCCCCTCCTGCTTTCATGCTCGTACTTGATAAAGTACCTTTTCCAAAACAGGTACCTCCAAATATTTAAGTTATTCAACATTTGCCAGGGCATCAAATATGTTATTTCAAGTAAGGGATTAAATGACAAAACTTTTTTTAAAAATCATAATTTATACAATGCTGCATTTTGATTCAGAACTCATCAAAATGACTACTGTGTAAAACTAAAGTTAAGTAAAGTTTTAGGGGTCGCTTTTTATTATCCTGGAAAAATAATCTAAATATAACTGATAAGCATTTCAGCAGTCCATGTTAAAGAACCATAGGCAAGGTATGTCCTGATTAGTATACCATGGCCCGGTGCTTAGAGTGTGTGTGTTTGTGTGTGTGTGTGTGTGTGTGTGTGCGTGCGCGTGTGTATGTCAGTATTGTGTTTACTTTGTGGAACTATAATTGTTGCACTTTTTCATGGAATTTTATTTGTTGCTTTTTTGTATTTTAATAGAGATTATTTATTTAAAACATAATAAAGTGATACATGTGTTATGTTTTATCTAGTGATTATTATTGCGTATCCACTAAAAATTAGATATCTTACAATGCTGTGGAAATGAAGAGAGATGGACAATACAGTACCATCACAGCATTTGGAGCATCCCTGCATTTATACATATCTCAACCTGCTCTATTTTTGGCTGACATCTGTGACTGGTGGGCCCGGCTGCTGTGAGCTCCTTGTAACCTACCAAGACTTCTTCATCTCCTTTTTGGATTCTGTGTATCCGCACAATACCTTGCTCAAAGGAGTTGTTCGATAAATGTTTAATTGCTTTAGTACTATATTTGTGTGCCCTTTACATCAAACATATGCCTCAAATCAGATTGTTATTCAATATTAGAGACGAATAAGGAAAAACGGAAATAGTAAGAACACTTTATATGTCTATTGCTAGGGATAAAACACAATTTATCCATTTTATAAATGGGGAAAATGAGACCCAGAAAGATTAAGAACTTTGAAACCCGGCACCTGGCCCTGAATCCAACTTCATTCTAGCACTTTTCCCTTCCCAGCACCAGCCAGACTGGTAACTGGAGACTGAATAACCCATCTCATAAATGTCCACCACTTCACAATACTGGACGGATGATGATTGCAGCAACCAAAGGTGCTGAGGAGTACAGGGAGGGAAGGGAAGGGAAGGTATACTTAGTGATTGTTAATGTGCCACTGACCACCTGAAATCTTTCTAACTGGGAAGAAAAACCTATTTATTGCCAATTAAAGGCGGTTACATTAACAAATCATTCAACCTCATAGAAAGACAGCATGACTCCTCAAGGCAGGATTCCGGGATCACAGGATCCTGGAAATAGAAAGGAGCCGAAATGTAGTGCAGTGCTAATCCACATGAGCCAGAGCGGCCTGTCCTCCAGCACACAAGGCTTTTGAGGTCTGAGCTCATCAGCTTTCCAGGGCCTTTCCCCTTATGGAGCCTTCGGGTCTCATCCTGAGGAACAATTTTCTATTCCCTTGATACACTGTGCACCTCCACATCTCCCTCCGTCTCTCCCCTCTGTCTGAAACACTCTTCGGCTCTCTTCTGCCAGGAGGAAGTCTCTCCCACGCTTAAAAATCAAATAAAATGCTGGGAAGCCTTCCTCATCTCACTCCCCAAAGGGGACTTGACCTCAGGCATACTTTTTTGTTCATCATGTCAGTATGTCACTGTCTCACGATGATCTATGCCCTATCTACTTGTATGTGATGTCCCTCTACTGATCTGTGCACCCCTGACACGGGACTGAGAATACATTGGACATCCAGTGGAATTTTAATTCTATCACCCAATTATTTATGAAATCATCCCATTGTCTCATTTTACTTATGAAAACTGAATTCCAGAGTGGAAGGGGACTTGTTGATCATCTGAAAATGAGCCAACATTAGGGCTCAGATAACAAAGTATGCTCCCTCTCTCATTACCCACCTCGTAAGGGGAAGGGCTGGCACGGTAGAGTCTGGAGTAACAAACCCACCCTTCTTGGCTATTTGCCTAACTTTTTTACTCAAAGTCTGACTGCTATACTGTATTGCTGGCAATGTCAGTTTTCCTCAATAACAAAGGCTTCCCAGTTCAGAACATATACATATGTGGCTCACAGGAAAAGTGAGTATACGTCCAACATGATAAACAGAGAGGTATGTCAAACTCCTATTCAGTCTATGAAAAAACCTACTCATAATTCTAACTTTGCTCCCTTAAGTATGGAGAGAAGGCATAGCTCATTTGGAAAATCTGACCAAAAGCCCACATTTCAACACAGTGAAATGCTTTATCCCCTTTCCCTTCCATCACACCAAGACCTTTCTAGATGCAATTATTTAATCCCAGGCCGAACACTAGTGGACAATGAAATCCCCACAAAAAGTCCCCCCTCCTTCCCCCCTACTCCCCGTGAGGTGGTCAAACATCAGTTCCACAAAAAACATTTTTAAAAGCTTTCCATGTGATTTTTATCCATGCCAGGTTTTTGGTTTTTTTCCACTCATGGCTAAAAATGTTCACATTTGAATATTCATCATTATGAGCCTCTGGTAAGATATAGCTCTGTCCAGTAATTTACATCTTTTGACTATAGGACCTTAGGAGGGTATAGGTAAAAAAAAAAAAAAATTCCAGTTTCACTCTGGTTGAATTTTTAACTGTCTTTTTCCATTTCGTGGCTTTGGGTAGCTTTGATTGTGCTGATATGTCCTGCTATACATAGGGGAAATGAGATCCACAAAGATTAAGTACTTTGAAAAAATTAAATAATTACTGTTAGAGTTTTCTCCAAATAGGCAGGTTGTTTTCAGATGAGTCCTTGTGGGTTTCATCAATGGCTCACCAACAAAAGGAAGCCACAAATCACTTGTGCATTTTCAATTATTGTGTGGGTTTTGCTTTAAACCAACAGTAAAGGCCATGGTCATGAGGACTGTACAACAATGTGAGTGTACTAAATGCCCCTGAAGTAGATGCCTAAAAATGGTTACAATGGCCAAAACCAATGTGGCTCGGTGGATAGAGCATTGGCCTTCAGACTGAAAGGTCCCAGGTTCGATTCTGGTCAAGGGCATGTACCTTGGTTGCAGGCACATCCCCAGTGGGGGGTGTGCAAGAGGCAGCCAATCGATGTTTCTAACTCTCTATCCCTCTCTCTTCCTCTCTGTAATAAATAAAATAAATAAATAAATAAATAAATAAATAAATAAATAAATTTTTTAAAATGGTTACAATGGTAACTTTATGTATACTTTACCACAAAGCGAAGGCCAACTTACAGGAGGTAACAATTATCCCTAACCTTTCCTCAAGAAGGAGAGGGCGAGTGGGGAGGAACGAATGATGGTCTCTATTTTTCAGACAGAGAGCAAATGGCTTTCACGCTCCAGTTCCACCAGGCCTCTCATAGCAAGGCTCTCACACTTGCTCCTTCCCCCGTGGAGTGGGAAGAAGAAAAGGAACGACTGCCAGATAAAACACTAACCTAAGGAAAGATAATGTTACATCACAGAACCGTAGCCCTTTGAACACTGACTAGATTGCCAGGCCATCCGTTCCTCAACAGCTCGCAGGCTTTCCGCTGGGCCCGCTCAGCCCCTGTCCTTCAGGGGGACCGTGCGCAGCGGCCGGCCTGGGGCGGTGTGCATGCATCAGAGGCAGCTGTCAGAGTGTAGCTCAGAGAGCTGCTCTCACAGAGTCTCCGTAGGGCGTGAAAACTCCTATAAGGTAAAGGCAGAGGAAATGGGGGGGGGGGGGGGGATGGGGGGCGCACGGAGGAGACTCAGAGGGAGCAGATTGGTTGTCTCCCAGGCTCCCGAAAGACACCACGTGGTGGGCTTCCCTTGGAGAACAGAGGGGGAAGCAGGGACAGTTCCAGGGAGGCAGTTTCCTAAGGTATGGGCATCCTCTGCAGGGAGCAGGCTGCCGACCCACCCAGCCAGCCCTCAGGTCCGCTGGCTGCCCTGGCCCAGCGCCGGGAGGTGAGCGGTGTGGCCTCTGGGTGGTGGTGGCTGGGACTCGGGGGGAGTTGGGGTGCACAGGGGAGGGGGGAGGTGCGGTGAACCAGCTGGGCTGCAAAGGGGAGGAGGAAGAGGAGGTGGAGAGGGAGGGGGACAGGAGGGGGAGAAAAGGGGACAGGAGGGAGGATGGGGAGGGGGCGAGTGACGGCTTACCAGGCCACCTCCGCAGGTGCTGAACGAGGCCAGGGAGCCGGGGTGCCGCAGCACCGCCCCGGTGTAGAAACAGGCGGCGTCCGGGGGCGCCGGAGGGCGCGGGGCCCGCGTGGGGGCCGGGCCGGGGCTCGGCCGCTGCTCCACGGCGAAGCGCGGCGCCAGGAAGCGGCCGTCCCTCCGGAGCAGCAGGTAGAGGTCCCGGGAGAAGGCGGGGATCCGCAGCAGCACCTCTTCGCCCTCCGGGTCGGCGTGCGGGGCCGGGGCCGGGGGCGGCAGGGGGGGCGGCGGCGGCTGCCACGAGGCCGGGGCGCCCGGGGACACAGCGGCAGCAGCCCCGCCGGATCCCCGCGGCAGCTCCTGGGACTCGAGCTCTTCGTCCTCCTCGGCCCCGGGGGGCGGCGTGGGCCGGGGCCCGGGCTCCGACGGGCCCTCCGCCGCCGGCTCCTCGGGGGGCGCCGGGGCCACGGAGCGCACCTCGCGGGAGCTGCCGGCCGCCTGCGTCCAGGCGCCGCCGCCGCCGCCGCGCCCCCAGCCCGGGTCGGCGCTGCCCCCGCTGCCCCCCGCGGCGGCGTCCGGCTCCCGCCGCCAGAGCGCGGGGAACACCACCTCCCACTCGGCGGCGCGGTCCGGGCCGAGCTGCAGCCCTGCGGGGCGGACAGAGGTGCGGGCTGAGCGCACGGCGCCCCGGCTCACGGACCACCCGTCTAGCCCCGGGGGCCCCGAAGCCTGGCGATCAGATTACAGACCCCAGCGTTTTCAAAATAAAAGTGCTATTATAGGGCGGGGGATGGAGAGGGAACGGGCAGTGACAGCCCTTGGTGGTGGAAAGGTGCAAAGACCACAGCGGCACCGTTAGACAGTGTCCTTCAGTGCATGCCGGAGCGGAGCTAGCCGTGCACGGACGTCCCCGTGTTCCACCAGGTGCTGTGCACGCACCTTTCCCAGCACCCCTCCTCTCCCGGAGGAAAACGAGCCCCCTCGGGGTGGTTTTTAAAAGCCCGGGGGAACCGTGCCGGCTCCGGAGCGCGTCCCTGTCTGTCCTCCGCGCCCAGATGCCCCTGAGCCCCGCTCCCCGCCGGCCCTCCCTCGCGCGTCCCCTCTCCGCCTGGGACCCTGGAAAGAGGCTCCCGCGGGTCCCGCCAGCACTTACCTGCGACGATGCCGCCCGCCAGGACCGCCAGCTGGAGGCAGCAGCAGAGGCCAGCCAGGCGCATCCCGCCGCCGCGCTGCCCCATCCCGCGCTCCCCGCGCGCCGCCCTGCGCGCTGCACCGCGGGCGCCGCCGCCTCCCGGAGCGCAAGGAGGCCGGGCGGCGAGTTTGCCCGGGCCCTTTGTCTGCGGGGGGGCGGGGGGAGCGGGGGTGCTGTGTGACTCCGAGAGGCTGCCCGAGCTCGGGCGGGGTGGGGTGGGGTGGGGGGAGGAGCGGGGGCAGGCAGCGCCGCAGCCCGCGGCTCCCCAGCTCCCTGGCGGATTAGGTGATGAGTATATTTTCTGTGTTCTGGTCTCGGCAGGAGTTCCCTCCGGAGCCCCGGTCCGACCCACAGTCAGCAGAGGGCCGGCAAGCGCCAGGCGGTCAGGGCAGCCCGGAGACGGAGGGAGGACTGCCCTGCGCGGGCTGGAGAGCCGCGGGGTCCGAGCCGCGCCGCCGAGCTGCCTGGGGTGGGTGCCGCGGTCCCAGCCGCCCGGGGTGCCAGGGTGGGCACACGCCTCCTCCGCCCCGAGACCAGAGTCCTGCAGGCTCTCGGGAAAGGATTTGGGGGAAAACAAGGGGGAGACTCCGCGTGCCAGGTGGGATGTTGGAGAAGAGTTTCGAACCAATCCCACCAGAAAAAAGGGACCAAGGCGGCCCGCCAAGGGTGACTTTGCCGGACAAAGGTCCCCGAACACCGCACACACGTGCTCACACGCCCAGTGGGGACGGGGTGGGGACCCAAATTTCCTCACCTGGCCCCTGATTGGCTGCTCGGGGCGCCCGATTTGCATCCTCACACCGCGCCCGCTCCCCCACCCCCGGCGGAGGTGTAAGCAGGTAGGAGTGCCTCCCTCTCCCCACCCGCCTCCTTCCTCAGGCTCCTCCTCGGATCGAATTCCCCGCCGCACATCACACACAAAGCAACACTTTAGAGCAAATGTAAGCACAAAGCTGGCCCCCATTTACCGAAGACCTTTGATTTTTTTTCTTCCCATCTTTGTCTCTAGGAATTCTCTAAGTCTGGAGATAATGTAATTCGTCACGGCGTGTGGCTTCAAAGATTCCCAGGACGGGAGACATCCAGACATCCTGACATTTCAGAGCCCCTTGTCCTGCCTTATCTTTCCGGCTTCCCGGCTTCCCATTAATCAGTTAATCAGTGCTATCAATTTCTTCTCTCTCTCTCTCTCTCTCTCTCTCTCTCTCTCTCTCTCTCTCTCTCTCTCTCTCTCTCTCTCATAATGAGGGTAAGATTAAGAGGAGCAATGTTGAATAATGTATCCTAAAGGTCTCAGGCCAAGTGAGGTGATTTTGCCTTTTTTTATGTACATTACATATATTTTTGCTATTTCTGTCTTTTGGGAGAAAATTCAACCTTGAATATTGCCTTCTTTGTTGAAGCTTTTCGTGATGCCTACCCCTTTTCCACACTTCTTTTCTTGTCCACATCAAACCTTTCAAGTCAGACTCAAGGGTGATTAATCTAACCCGCCATTTGCTTCCTCTGAACTAGGCCAGGCATCTACCTATAAGAGTTAATGCAAATCGGTGAGGTTTTTTTTTTTTTTTTTAAATGCCTGCACTGAGGTTGGTTTTTCATATCCTTTGTTGCTTTACCTTCTGTTCCTTGTGTCAAAGGTGACCACTATGCCTTTCAGGGAGGCAGACGATCTTATTTCAAAGGAAAGCCATTGTTTGAATAAGCAGGGTCCTAGAATACTTTGTTTGAGTGGTCCAGAGTTTAAAAACAAACAAAGACCCTCTAGGTGTGTTTGTAAGGAGTGTTTTGTCTCCAAACCTTGTCTTGCTAAAGATCTAAAATGTGGGGGTGTGGGTATCCTGACTCTCAAGAAATATCTGAGTTACTTAGGAACCTACACACTTCTTTTTATGGGACTCCATTATACAGATTTTAGACTAGGCAAGAGATCTGAGGCAGTTTATTTTTAATAAATACAGCAAGTCATTAAGACAAAAGGCTAGTTTCAATGAAACACCTCCATAGGGTATATCTTCAATTTTTTCTATAATTTTAACAATGACAACAAAAATATAAGAGTCAAATTGTAGGAATGCATATTAAATTGTATGCATTTATTGGAATACATTTGTGATTCCTTAAAACAAGATGAATTATAGGATTAAATTAAATATACAACTCAAACACACAGGTTGTCTCTGTGAGTTCCCTACTAACATAATCCAAAAAGGTCTGATTAATTCCCAGCAAGCTCTTCTCTCTCTCCCATTTGAAATACTGTTATAAGTTATATTTTCAAAGGCTTTTATAAATAATTTGGTTTGCAATGACTTGTTTACATATTTATCCTACTATGTGGTCAATTTGTGAAGGTAGGAATGATTGCTTTTCATTTTTTATCAACCTGCCTAATTCAGCGATTTAGGTGTAGAAATTCTCTAAGATGCTTTAGAAGATGATAGAAATTGCTGTCTGTATAGTATTTTACTTCAATTTCAGTTTTAACCCAGAATTACATTAGCTCGGTTGGCGATCTTCGACTATCAGTACAATTTTTCTGGTTTACAGAGAGAACAAGCCTAGGAGAGCAATGATTTGGAGGAAGTTTCTATGCTCTAATTAGAAGAGACTTAGATGTGCAAACAAGGGCATTGGTTAAAGTAGATGTGAATAAGTTTCACATATGCATGTAAGTGAAAGAAAGAACCAGCCTGATTTGGAATTGAGTAAATTACATATGGTGAGATAGAGGAAAAAAGGGCAGGACTGTGACATATGTGTGCAATACCAATCTTAGAGGGAAGAAAAGAACAGCTGGGAAAAATATGTTGCTTAAGACAGGTCAATACATATGTCACCAGATGGTAGCTAGCATCAACCAAGCAATGCTTTTGTGGAGTGGGTGTAAGTGACCAAGCATCAGAGTAAGTGGAACCAACTGTTCTTATACACAAGGTGCTCACATGTTGCATTTTATAACCCATGCTTTTCTGTATAGAAAAGTGGCTTTGATGCCTTCAGCCCTTCCTCGTTCTCTTTGCTCATTGGCCTGAAGCCTCTCACTACTTTAATCTTAAGAAATTTCCCATCCAAGAAACCATAAAATCTTAGGAAATACAAAGAACCCTTTCATTGAGTTACATGAGGATACCAACTCCCAATAGCACTCTCGGGTAAAAGGACATCAAGACTTAAGCTAGCTCCGCCCTGGCCAGTGGCTCTGTTGGTTGGAGCATCAGTATGATTTTTCTGGAGAGCAATGACTTGGAGGAAGTTTCTGTGCTCTAATTAGAAGAGACTTAGCTGTGCGAACAAGAACATTGGTTAAAGTGGATTTGAGTAAATTTTACATAGGCATGTAAGTGAAAGAAAGAACTAGCCTGATTTGGGATTGAGTAAATTACATATGGTGAGATAGAGGAATAAGGGTAGGATTGTGACATATGTGTGCAAGGTTGTAGGTTCAGTTCCTGGTCAAGGCACAGGCCTGGGTTGTTGGTTTGATTCTTACTTCAGGCTCTCACAGGAGGCAGCCAATTGATATATATCTCTCTCCCCTTTCATCTCTAAATAATCCTCAGGAGAGGATTTAAAAAAAAAAAAAAAAAAAAAAAGACTTAAGCTAGTTCTGGCCATGATAGAGTAATAGAGTATCAGGAACCAAACTAATTCTCACCTTTAGCAATTAGAAAAACAGACAAAATGTAAAAAAAAAAAAAAAAAAAAAAAAAAAAAAAAATGGTTTTCAGACATTGGACAACAGGCAGCCTAGGACTATGATCTAGTAGAGAAAGAAAGCAAATGAGATATCACTAAAATTTCCCTAGTTTACTACCTGAAGGTAATGTCCAGGCTTCAGCACAAGGATAAAAGTCTAAACAGAGCACTGAAGACCAGCAGATTTGAGAAGACAGAGCAAGATGACTAGAATTTATCAGGCAAAGTACCAGAGGTGAGTATTTATTATGTCTTGCTGCATAACCAACCTACCAGTTAAAAACAAACACTTATTTTCTCAAATGGTTTTTGAGGATCAAGAATCTAGGAGTAGCTAAGCTGGATATTTAAGGCTCAGTTTCTCTCGTAAAATTACAATCAAACTCTTAGCCAGGTCTACAGTTTCTGAAGGTAGACAGGGAACCAGTCACACGGCTCTCTCCTGAGGGCTGCTCATTATATGTGTTCCAATAGAGTGCACCCCATAATAAGCTATGGTCTTCTTTTAACCAAATCTTGAAAAGGATATACCATCACTTCTACCAAATTCTGTTCATCCGATGCAAATCACTAAGTTATTTGACCATATTATTTTATAGAGTATCTGCCACTTTCTGTCCAGAAATGGTTTTGCGTATGTAATTTTGTTTTCCAAACTTTGTGAGTCTTCTGTGAATCTTTATGGAGTTCAGACAAAAGCCACCCCCTCAAATTTCTGTTAGATGAGACATCTCTATCTTGACTATTTGATGAGACTGCTGAGCAGTGCTCTTATACTTCTTAAAAGCCCTAATGTTTGACTGAAAGGATCTAGGAGACACACACTTAAACACTTTCGAGGGCCTCCATTTCGACTGAAAGATACTCTGAATGACCACATGTGATCTTTATGATTTCTTAACAAGGGATATTATTATACAATCACATCTTTGGCTTCATCATTAGGCCATGCTTTCCTAAAAGTGCCCTGTATTTTGTCTTTGCTATGATGCACTATGTTCTTAATTTTAGCATTATTTTCCAGAAAAAGAAGCTAAACAATTTCGAAGTCATCCAGTCCTGGCTGCTTTTTATTAACAGTCTTTCTTTAGTTTATCTCCTCTCCTTTCACATGTTCTATAAGCAGAAAAAAATAGATGGGACCTACAAAAAAATTTTTGAAATGTCCTGAGCTTGAGGAACCAGTTCACTAGGTCTGTTTTCTACTGCAGACAAGTGTTAGTGAAATTATTGCCACTATATAACAAGAATTCCCCTTCCTTTAGTTTCCAATAATGTTTACCTCACTTTCCTCTAAACCCTCACCTGTGGCCTCACCAAAAAAAATCATATAGATTCAACTAAAAA